TAAAAGAAAGCCAGCAGAGTGTGTGTTTGGTATCCGATCATGTGACATCCTTTACTTGTCATCATGATTTCTAGAGGAGTGTCCGTTTATCTCGGAAGCTTTCTTCTTTGCCCGATGAAAAGTAGGGATTAGGGTTTTGAAGGTGGGACTTCCGAGCTCCGAGGCTTGTAGGTTCCTATCTTCCACTGCTGAGAACAACTGTGAAGGTGGTATACTCTCTTTCTCTATCTCTCTCTCTATTTCTAGATATGCACTGTAGTTGATTTTTCTGTGAGATTTTAGTGCAGTAACGTTCTTCTGTGGTTACATCTTCCAAGAGAGCTTAATTGTTTGTTTCCCTAAAAACTTACTCTCGGCAATGCATCCTAAACAATAGATGTTTGGAAGCTCTGAACAACAAAGGCACAAAGCTAGAAATCTCTATTTCAAAGGATTGCAGTCCTTTGCAATCTCTACAATAATTTACATCAGAAATAATATTTCCTCGAATGATCTTTCATTCTATATATTCCCATACACACACACACACACACACATATACACACACACACACCTTGTTTCTCCCAGTAATATTTGTAGCATTGTGATCAACACTCTTTTCCCATGACAAAATGGATGGCTGCAACTTTTTGGTTAAGAGGAATGAATGATAGGTTGGATTGGATAGGCTGTTCTAAAGTTGACTGCCTATCAGATTCATTTCTTGAGCTGAATTAAGAAAAAAAAGGAGGATTAAATCAATTTCATTCTTATATTTTTTACATTTGCATGTACAAGGTTGCTAGCTATATATATATATTTCTTTTCTGATATTGTTTTGTTGAATGAAGATTGTCCCCAAGTGTACCATAAGGGAGGATCACACTCAAAGCTATCTACATGCTTGACTGAAAAGAAAATGACATGCCTTCAACTAGTTATACTAACATATCATTCTCTTTCTTTCTCTCTCTTCTTTATCCTTCACTGTGTTTTGATGTTAGTCCGTGAAAAATGTACTTGAGAGAGCTTCCTTCGGTCCATTCATGGATGGTTGTGGAGTTGAATCAGCTGCCGACTCATTCATTCAAACACTCAGTAGAAAGGAAGTGCGCAAATTCTGCATGCCAGTCTGCAGCAGACAGAAAAGGCTTCGGAACTGAGCTACTATGTGAATGAGTGAATGATGCGGGAGCTTATTCTCTCTCTTCCAGTCCATACTTGGACTGAAGGGAGCTCCCTCTTCCTCATCTCTTATAGCGTCCATGGAGTTGTCACCACAATCTCAAAATCCCTGGTGTTCCCTCTTCCCTGTACTGTTCCCTCTTTGTCTTCTCCATCTCAAGTTGTACACTTGATGATAGTACTAACGCCCAAGTGTGGCATGCAATTACAGTGGTTACCTTGACATCAGCGTCAAAGAAAGAGACTTACCTTGGCACGGATCTGATATATTCAGAAAACGATACTTCCTTCAAGTATAATCTTACACAACTATTTTAACACAGCAGGTCAGGATGGCCGAGTGGTCTAAGGCGCCAGACTCAAGTTCTGGTCCTCGTGAGAGGGCGTGGGTTCAAATCCCACTTCTGACAAAATAAATTATTTTGTTTATTTATTTATTTATTTGTTTTGTTATTGTTTTCTTATTAATCGTTCCTAGGAAACAACAAAAGCAGATATATCCTTATCAGAAAATATTTTTCGTCGAACTTTACCTTAACTAATATCACATCACCTATATTTTTAAATTTAATCATTTTTTTATACCATAAAATACTAAAGCTTCTTTGATTTATTATGAAGTTATTATATCCTTTTTAATACAGATCTCCACATAATTGATATATGAGTCGATAAACTATATAAGAAGAATAATACCTTATTCTTTTTCTTAATCGATTTTTATATTATTTTTTTAGTTGATTTAATATTCTTTTTAATATGTTCATATGGTCTACTGAGTCTTTGTCTTTTTCATCTTCAACCTATATAATTTTTTACTTTAGATATAAATTTATTAGTTAAATTTTCTATCAGATAAAGCTTTTCTGACTTATCGCTAATAATCATACACAACTGTCTTAATACATAAGGTCAGGATGGCCGAGTGGTCTAAGGCGCCAGACTCAAGTTCTGGTCCTTGTGAGAGGGCGTGGGTTCAAATCCCACTTTTGACAAAATATATTATTTTATTTATTTGTTTTGCTGTTGTTTTCTTAATTTTTTCGTCGAACTTTACCTTAACTAATATCACATCACCTATATTTTTAAATTTAATTATTTTTTGATAGAATAAAATACTAAAGCTTCTTTGATTTATTATGAAGTTATTATATCCTTTTTATGCATATCTCCACATAATTAATATAGGAGTCGATAAACTATATAAGAAGAATAGTACCTTATTTTTTTTCTTAATTAATTTTTATATTATTTTTTTAGTTGATTTAATATTTTTTTTAATATGTTCATATGGTCTACTAAGTCTTTGCATTTTTCATCTTCAACCTATATAATTTTTACTTTAGATATAAATTTGTTAGTTAAATTTTTTATCAGATAAAGTTTTTCTAACTTATCCCTAATAATCATATCAGAGTCATCATCAATAATATTATTAATAATATTATCATCGAAGCAAAAACATATAATATTTACACACATTACCTCGAGCTCCTTCTAATTTTTATTACTCATTTTTTCTTATCAGATAAAGCTTTTCTAACTTATCCTTAATAGTTGTTTCAGAGTCATCATTAATATAATATTATCATCGAAGCAAAAACATATAATATTTATACACATTACCTAGAGCTCCTTTCAATTTTTATTACTCATCTTTTTTTATTTGTCTAATCATCCTTTCAATGTTCTTGCTTCTATCCTTCACCCTCCTCTACTATAGATAGAAACTATTTCTATAACCAAATTTCTTCATAATAAAATTAATAAAAATAATTAATAATAATTTATTGGATCTTTAATCATCATATCTTTTGGGCTTTGATACCACTTTGTTAGAGAGTGAGAGGAGAATTTTAAAATTAAAAGAAAACACAGAGATCAATAAGCTAAAAACTATATCAGAAAATCAACGTATGATTATATCCATACTTATATCCATGAAGAAAACTAGATTATTCAATATATGAGATCAATCATATGACTTTTAAGTTATCCATGCTTATGTACAATCCTCCTTATTCATCTCTCGTGTAAACATTAAAAACTCTTACAATCTTCGCTAGAAGTTTTAGAAATCACTATCCAAAGTATCTCCTCTTACCGATAAAGACTCATTATGTATTATAAGAATAAATCTTAATCCATTTTAATTTAATTAAAAACTCTATTATTTAATTTAAATAAAAAATATTATATATTTTTTGCTTCGATAAGTAATAAAAATTGAAAGGAGCTCGATGTAATTTGTGTAAATATTATATATTTTTTGGTTCGATGATAATATTATCAATAATGTTATTGATGATGACTCTGACATGACTACTAGGGATAAGTTAGAAAAAATTTATATAAAAAATTTAACTAACAAATTTATATCTAAAGTAAAAAATTATATAGGACGAAGATAAAAAAGGCAAAGACTTAGTAGACCATATGAACATATTAAAAAATATTTAATCAACTAAAAATATAATATAAAAATCGATTAAAAAAAGAATAAGGTACTATTCTTCTTATATGATTTATCCACTACTATAACAATTATGTGGAGATCTGTGTAAAAAGGATATAATAACTTCATAATAAATCAAAGAAGTTTTAGTGTTTTATGCTATCAAGAAAAGGATTAAATTTAAAAATATAGGTGATGTGACATTAGTTAAGGTAAAGTTGGACGAAAAAGATTTTCTGATAAAGGATATATCTGCTTTTGTTGTTTCGTAGGAACGATTAATAAGAAAAAAAACAACAAAACAAATAAATAAAACAAAATAATTTATTTTGTCAGAAGTGGGATTTGAACCCACGCCCTCTCACGAGGACCAGAACTTGAGTCTGGCGCCTTAGACCACTCGGCCATCCTGACCTCTTATGTCTAGATAATTGTGTAAGATTATAGTTGAAGTAAGTGTCGTATTCTGAATCTTCTCACTTCCCTACCACATCGCAAGTCAAGGCCTTACTGTTTTGGCGCTCTCTGTCTCTTTCTTTGACGCTGATATCAAAGTAACCACTGGTAATTGCATGCCACACTTGGGCATTAGCACTATCATCAAGTGTACAACTTGAGAAGAAGACAAAGAGGGAACAGTACAGGGAAGAGGAAACACCAGGGATTTTGAGATTGTGGTGACAACTCCATGGACGCTATAAGAGATGAGGAAGAGGGAGCTCCCTTCAGTCCAAGTATGGACTTGAAGAGAGAGAATAAGCTCCCGCATCATTCACTCATTCACATAGTAGCTCACTCAGTTCCGAAGCCTATTCTGTCTGCTGCAGACTTGCATAATTTGCGCACTTCCTTTCTACTGAGTGTTTGAATGAATGAGTCGGCAGCTGATTCAACTCCACAACCATCCATGAATGGACCGAAGGAAGCTCTCTCAAGTACATTTTTCACGGACTAACATCAAAACACAGTGAAGGATAAAGAAGAGAGAGAAAGAAACAGAATGATATGTTAGTATAACTAGTTGAAGGCATGCCATTTTCTTTTCCGTCAAGCATGTAGATAGCTTTGAGTGTGATCCTCCCTTATGGTACACTTGGGGACAATCTTCATTCAACAAAACAATATCAGAAAATAAATAAATAAATATATATATATATATAGCTAGCAACCTTGTACATGCAAATGTAAGAAATATATATATAGGAAAGCCACGTAAATGTGAAAAGTGAGGGTCCCACTGTATTGGGTCCCCCACAAAGAAACCTCGAAGGCATCACCGTCGCAAAAAGGGGTTGACTTGGTTTAAATGGAAAGGTCGGGTTTGTGTAACATACAAGCAAAGGTCAGCAGGTCGTTGTTTGGTCCACTGCTGTCCCCTCCCGCAACACCCAATCAGCAGAAGGCTCGACAGCATTGGGAAAGTGATAGCTGAACCACCTCCATCCATCTGTTCGCTATATGCGAAGGGATGATGCGATCAGCCTCGGTGAAGACGAGAATCCCGGAGAGGGAAGAAGAAGAAGAAGGGGGGCAATGGGTGGAGCCTCCACGGGGAGCATTCCGCTGCTCCCTTTCTCCGTCACAGGAATCATAGGCTTGGCCTTGTTCTACTTCTACTATGTCTTTTGGATCAGGCCCGAAAGGATGAGAAGTAAACTGAGGAGCCAGGGAATAGACGGTCCTCCTCCTTCCTTGATCCATGGCAACATATTGGAGATGAGAAAGATTCTTCGAGAAGAGAGGAAGAAGAAGGCTCAAGAGGAATGCGCCCCGAGTGTCACAGCCTGCTATGTTTCGGCGCTCTTCCCTTACCTAACCCGTTGGAGAAGGAGATATGGTATGCTAGTTCTAGTTGCAGATAACTTGTTCGTACTATTGTCTTTTAGATTCCGTTCGAAGATCAAGATTCTTTTTTTTTTTTTTTGTGGGTTCGTTTGCCCTTCGATCCAAAAGTTGTATTTCCACTGTCAGCTCTTGTGACTCATGATAGTTGAACTCTGGAATCTTCAGTTTCCAAATTGAATTCTTTTCTCCTGCTGAGGTCGCAGCAGTTCTCTCAGTGCCATTTCATCACTAGATACGTTGAATATACCTATACCGATTGATCAGATTTGCAGCTAAATCATGACTTTTGGAACACCCAGGTCCCATATTTATGTACTCGACGGGCAGCATGCAGACATTGCACGTAAGCCACCCTGATCTTGTCAAGGAGATCAGTGTTTGCAAGTCTCTAGATTTAGGGAAGCCTTTGTACTTACAGAAGGATCGTGGAGCTCTTCTAGGTAAAGGAATTTTGACATCAAATGGGGCTCTTTGGGCTCACCAGAGGAAGGTTATAGCTACAGAGTTGTTCATGGACAAGGTCAAGGTATATCTGTACCAGTTGTCTTTGATATTTTGCAACTGCAGTATTTTTGGCAATTTTGGACAACGATATTCAATGAATTGGAAAATTATGTTGCCAAGCCTCATTGTTGAAAATTTGTAGTGGCTTGACTTGTATCATCTTGAAAACTTAAACTCGTTTATGCTTTTCTCTGGTTCTCTTCTTTCTGACTCCAACTTGTCATGCTGTTTGAGTCTTAGTCGCAAACCTGACTCCAACTTGTCACATGTCTTTTCATGTTTTCATTATATCATGACATTTTGTCTTAATCTTTTATTCTACTCGTTCTTATTTTGTTCCATTGTTTAATAAAAGACAGTAAGCAGATTCTATTTATCATCTCCGACATATATTGTTTTGTCCTAAAATACTTTTTGCACCAAGTAGTGACAAATTTCAGGATTTCTAGCTATTTTTTATTTGAATTTAAACTCCTTTTAGCATCTTGTATGTGATTTTCCCAATTAGTGTGTATATGGACATACTTGCAGGGCATGGTTGACCTAATAGTGGAAGCCGCTATTCCATTGTTTAAGTCATGGGAAAGTGCAGTTGACAATGGAGGGGGCAGTAGTGATATAGTTGTTGATGAAGATTTGAGAAAATTTTCAGCTGATGTGGTCTCGAGAACTTGTTTTGGAAGTAGCTTTGCTGAAGGCAAGGAAATTTTTTCTCGACTTCGTCAACTTCAAATGTTAATGTCAAAGATCAGTATATTTATTGGGATTCCTGGAGTAAGGTGTATTGTATCTCCATTATTATTTTGATTGGAATGCTTATTATTTTTCAAATAATATTTTATCTTTATAGAGACTTTGTTGCAGCTTTCTCTTAAAGATCATGTATTATAATTATTTTCGTAATTATCTTTGCGTTCACATTTATCTAATGTTAACCAAAGCTTATATATGTCTGCTATGATGGAAAGAAGCAATCAGATCTTACAATTCATATATATTAGGATTTATTAAGAAGTTGAATAATAGCATTGTCTGTTAATGCAACAAAAAACTGGCATTACATTTCTGTTTTCTTTGTGAGCAAAAGACCCTAATTCTCAAAAACAAGTTGGTGTGCAGATTATGGATGAAGATATTTGTACTTTTAATCATTATCTATTTGCTTTCAGTTTTTTTATCTACTTGTCAGGGTATGGATTTCATTACATCACATATTCTTGTACCTTCTTGGCCGAAATTTTAGCTTCGTTGCTCGGGTGGACTAAGCCATATCTTTTGGTCCCACAAAAGAAGAGGCATCGAAAACAATGACATTTCCAGCAAAATAGAATGGGGATATTTTAGAAAGCTTAGATTTTTCTTTCTGATCTCATAAATAGTACGTAGATATAGCTCAGAGAACCATAGATTTCAGCTGTGTAGAATAAATTGCAATGCCCATAAGGCATGTGTAACTTAATTAAGCTTTTGTTGTCTGACTCAATATTTTCACCAGATATTTACCAATGAAAAGCAATCGAAAGATATGGAGGTTGACTCAAGAGATACGAACACTGATCCTTAATATAGTCAAAGAACGTAGAGAAGACATTTCCACATCTTCAGGACAAGATCTATTACAATCCATCATTGAGGGTTCCACTATCTCAAATTCTGGACTTGATTCGGCAGAGAGCTTCATCGTTGATAATTGCAAGAACATCTACTTTGCGGGGCATGAGACAACAGCAGTGACTGCTACATGGTGCTTGATGCTTCTGGCTTCACACCCTGAGTGGCAACACCGTGTTCGTGAAGAGGTCTTGGAGGTCTGTCAAGGAAAATTTCCAAACTATGACATGCTTCGCAGATTAAAAATGGTATGTAAGATTTCATTGCATTAAAAAATCAATGTTTTTGTCACAAAAACTGAAAAATATTTTCCTGTCCAAAATTCAACATTCTATTTGATTTAGGACATTCGTGAAGATCCATTATTATTTCATTGTTACTATTCAGTCTTGTGGTTGCAAGTACAGGTGCTATTATCATTCCAACTTAAGTTCATGTTTTGTGGTAGGAAAATTATATTCCAATGATAATCAACTAAAAATTGAAAAACTAGATTTAACAAAGGCATTGACTCGAGACAAAAAATTACTTCTGTAGGAGTCTGTATCTACTTTTACTCAATCTACCAAGAGTTATAAATTTTGTTATTGGTCATGATTTTCCATATTTTGAGTATACTATTTTGGTCATGATTTTCCAAACTTAGAGCAGTGCATTGTTTTCTGTATCATTTGCAGCTTATTGGATTGTGAATTTATTTCTTAGAGAGATTGAGGGTTGTAAATTGAGTATCTAATTCACTACCGATGTCCAAGTACAGTAACTAATTTTAACCACAGTTCTTTTAGTTTAGACTTTAGGGTCTTCCTAATTAAATTTTAGTTTATAAAGATCATTCAATGATGATGTATATATATGTATAATGCAGCTGACAATGGTGATCCAAGAGACGCTGCGTTTGTATCCTCCAGCAGCATTCATGGTGAGGGAGACCCTTCAGGATATGAAGCTCGGAGACATCCATATACCAAAGGGCATCACCATTTCAACCCCAATAGCATCGTTGCACCATGATCCAGAATACTGGGGATCTGATACTGATGAGTTCAAACCCAACAGATTCTCACGCGGAATTGCTGGTGCTTGCAGATCCCCTCATGCCTACATACCCTTTGGCTCAGGGACAAGGACATGTGCAGGTCAAAATTTTGCAATGGTGGAGCTCAAAGTCATTCTCTCGCTGCTCCTCTCCAAGTTCGTCTTCTCAGTGTCACCAAGTTATCGTCATTCTCCTGCATTCAGGCTGACCATAGAACCCGAGTTTGGCGTGCCGCTTATCGTTAAACGCCTTTGAATCTTGGTTACTATTTCTATTCTCAAGTTTCAATTTTCTTTGTTGTTGCAAACTTACAGAATTAATATTGTGAGACTTGAATGGAATCCTTGGGCACTTGTTGCCTCTCATGGTGTTAGTAAGCTACAGTCCTGTGGATTAATCTCATCGCAGATCTTTAAAGAAAATTGTGAGCACAGGTTTCAACTTCAATAGTTTCTAATAGGTAGCTCTATCAGTCTGCTGTCTTCCATTGCCTAACAAATCATCTGCTCCTTTTTAAATTTCTTCTTGATTCTATATAACCTCTTTTATAATTTCTGTAATAGCTTAGAATTTTCTTGATTTTCAAGGTTCTCCCACCTTCTTGGTTTTCTGTAATGGCCGAGTGGTCCAAAGGCACCAGACTCGAGTTCTGGCCTACGTGAGAGGGCGTGGGTTCAAATCCCACTTCTGTCGGGTGATGGTGAGGATGATGCCTACGACGAGATGGAGGAAGAGGAGGGAATAAAGGTGAGCGTGAAGGCGAGGGTTAATTATAGATCACTGTCTCGTTGGTGATGACAGATGACGGCTCGTTGGTGATGACAGATGACGGACATCGCCATGGATAGTTATCGTGGATAACGAAAGCGACGGTAAGAAATGAGAGCTACTTAGCATCTAAGTTAGTTCCAACGCAAATGTAGAACGACATCACTCGACAACTTCTCTATAAGTGTAACGGCGTCAACGTAAATGCAAAGTAGCTAAAGGGCTACTCGACTTCTACATCTGCGTTGTTGCAATTGTCAAGCAATATTGTTTTGTATCTGTATCAACATCGACACAGTTGTCAAGCAATCCTTGTCTCTCACCACAACTCTCCTTACCCACAATAATCACATATGGTCTCCGATACTGTCATCATCAACTAAAACAATAAAATTATATTTTTACTAATTATTTTCATATTTCTATCCGATAATATTAAGATAAATAAAATTAAATATTTTATTTTTATAATCATAATAATTTTAATATATATTTTTAAAATATAAAGATCAAAATGCTAAGAGGAAAGGAGCGCCTAAGAAAGCGATGGCAATGGGCGTTTGTAGGAGAGGGGAGCCGACCGTTGGAAAGTAAAAATAGACTGATACCAAACAAAAATGAAATCAAGGAGAAAGAACAAGAAGAAATGGCCTTCAGAGTTCAGATACACTCATTCATCAGCTAAATAAGTATTTAGTCAACTACATTCGTTTCATATGTATTTACCTTGAGAATCTCAACAAGAAATCTAAGATTCTATTTGATCCAACATGAAGTCACTCTGGATATGATTAGAACCAATAAAAGAGACGCCAAAAAAGCAGATATCATAGAGTCTAAAGTAACCAAGACAAGCACGACATGTCCCAAGTGCTTCCACAACCATGTTTTTAGCTACAAATAGCATGAAATGATCAAAATACCATGGCATTTCAGCACTGCTGGGGGAGTTCATAGGGGGATATTCTCCAACAACAACAAAAATATTGCAACAAAATTGCTATTTCGACGTATCCAAAATAAGATTATTTGATCACTTCATGTCTATCAGCAACTGCAGAGCAATGCTTCAATCTGTAACAACACATCAGTTGTCTACTTCGATGAGAGTAGGTTCGTAGTCACTTGGTGCTTCAAAACCATGCAGATTCATGACCGTGGCAGCCACATTGGCGAGGCCACCGTCAGGCACGTTGTTTCGGAATCTGACACCAGGTGCAAGCCCAGGGCCACCAATGGCAATAGGAACCTGCAAATGTTTTCATTTCATGGATCAAACAACTCGAAGTAAATTCATTGCATGGATTCACATTACTTTATCAAGAACCAAAATGAAAACATTAAGTTGTGAAGGAAAGAATAGAGAGATCTACTACAATCCATAACTCCAGATACCAAACATATGCAGATATTTGAACTTATTTTCTTGAAGTGGACCTCTTATACTCATATTCTAGCTAGACTGTCGTCTGTATGAAAAGGGCATTTAACACTAGAAAAAGAAAAGATATTAACTGTTCAAGCCAGAAATTTATGTAATTTAAGACAATTTATTAAACTAAATAAAAGACCTGTGAAGGTGACTTCAGCTAATCAAGTAAAGCATTTTTTCCCTCTGAAGTATGACACTTAGCTGTCGTAGAATCCATGTAAATTGGTTACCTCAAGTGTTTAACAGCCAAATATTATGTTGATCACTATTGGAACTGATTCTAAACATGATTCATAGCAGCCAAACAGACAACTAGAAAATGATACATTCGTCAACCAGAAATCTAACCATGACATACAAACAGGATCCGACCAGAACAGCATCCTTAATCGCTTATTTTCCATGGCAGAGAGCCTACTACTTTTTGAGCCAAATTCATCAACAATATCAAGCTTTGTTCACATGTTTCAACATAAATGAAAATACAGATGCTAATATTAAGCTCCGATAGATGATTAAAATTGTCTTCAGTGTACTTACAGGTTGAAGAGTATGAGAAGTGAGAATCTGAATGTTCCCAGCTTTGTCGAGTTGTGGCTGTCCAGTTTTGTTCCTCTTTACCATGTCTTCAGCATTACCATGGTCTGCAGTGACAACATAAATGCCACCCACTTGCTCTATGGCATCCAAAATGATCTGCAAAGAGAGGCACCAGGACCTTCAAACTCAGAATCAACTATTTCAATCATTATGTAATGCTTTATCTCAACTCACTAGAACTATCAAATATTACCTTAACAGCTTCATCGGCAGCCTTGCAAGCCACAACAGTAGCCTCTATGTCACCCGTATGTCCTACCATGTCTCCATTAGGTAGGTTCACACGAACCTGTAAGAAACTAGCAAATAAGGAAACACAGTAAACAGAGAAGTGCTTGCACCTAAAAACATATTTCTTTACCTGATCAAACTTGCGACTGAGAATAGCATCCCTAGCCTTCTCGGCAATTTCCAGAGCCTTCATCTTGGGTCGAACATTAAACGTAATTCCTGAATCACTAGGAATTTCAACATATTCTTCCATGGTTGCGTCAAAATATCCCGATCGATTTCCATTCCAGAAGAAGGTGACATGACCAAATTTTACGGTCTCACTGTTTAACAAACATAAATAGGTTCCATGAATATGGTGCCAAATATATAACAGCATCAATTAGCGATACAGGCTTCGCATTTTTGCACAAAACATTCCTTGGCGAGCCACAAAAAGCATGTTCTAGGAATGAATGGTCTGGTCATATCATCACAATCAGAATTGGCAATAAGACCCTGTATTTCTCTGGATTTGCCAAATTTAATTGCAGAGTAAGTTGAGATCAGTCTAAATCAGCTGATACCATGTGATATCAGTTAACTGTGGTCAATCCCCAACTATTCCTGAAAAAATTCTGCTGAATCTACTTCATGGCTAGGAAGAGGAGGAGACAGAAGAGAGAATATTTGAATTTCTTATTTATTTCTTTAGTCTAAAATGCTGATCCTCGTAATGCCAATCATAATTCAAGTTAAGCTACATACTCAGTCTTGTATAATAGTTTGTGAATGAATGAATTAACTACAAGATCACCACAATCAGGTCATCTTCAGACTAAGTCCAACATATGGGGCAGTAATCAAAATTAAGATACTGAAACGACAAACCAAGTTTTTCCAAGATAAACATCAACCAAACGGAACCCCTGAAACAAAGAATGTCTAAAGGGAGGACACAAGAAGGCACGTGCATGACATGATTACATCCAGGAAAACATTTTTTAGTGCTAAGTTACTAGAAACAACCGCATAACAAGTTGTCTTAGTCGATGTTCAAAAATTGTCAATTATTGGTTTTGGCAACCTATCAAACCAGTATGACATTGATACACCTGGTGGTACATTGGTTTTGGCAACCTATCAAACCAGTATGACATTGATACACCTGGTGGTACATTGCCCTGTGCCACCAGCATCGTTAAATTGATAACTAAAAAAATGCTTGGTAAATACCAGCCCAACCGGCATTTAAAACCTTATCTTAGTACAAGCAAAGAAAAATTAAAATATGCTAAAATCTCATCTCTAGAATATATGTGAAAAGGGATGTAATATTAATTAAGAAGTATTAATCACTGAAGTTTGTTACCTAAAAACACATTTGAAGTGCTTTGACCAAGCAAATTATATACCAAAAATCATTTACAGTAAACTGAAGGCTGGAGATAAAGCCCCAAAATCATACCTAAACCATAATGAACAGGCTGAAGAAGTCAAACAGAAAAACAAGACTGATTTCGAAAACAAATGCTAAACCCATGGCAATGGAGTTGTTCTTATGCAATAGGTTTACAAGCAATGTTAAGTAACCTGACATATTGGCAGAGGATGGTTCTTGTAGTATAATAATTATGGGGCAAAACTACATGTCTGTTGGAAAGTATGTTGAACATAGTATATTCTCAAAGCCAGCTATTTGCTATCTGCATTAAGAAAATTACAAGAATTTTAAAGAAGTACACATCCTGACAGAGTTAAACAGTAAAAATTAAAACTACAAAATGTGAAAAATGGACTTCCACTTGGATCCGTCATTGTTAGTCTCCTAAACCTTTTTGGCATTCCAACTTTGTGATGGAACCGGTTGTCACCATAATTTAGTACCAAACAAGTATGTGAAGGTACATCAAGAAAATTATAGTTCCTAAGTAGCTCGAGCGACTGAACAATCTTTTCATGGCATATAAAGACTCCTTGGTTGCATCATTAAACAAATGAAAACAACACATTTTGAATCCCAACAATATGTATGATAAATGGAAGTCTTTAAGCTGAATTTGCAAGACCATTTTTGCAATTGATAGTTGATACATCCACAGAGGAAAAAGAAAAGAGCAATCTCTAATATTGTTTAAGACAGAAAAAAAGATTTCATAGACGATTACCAAAACCACATGGTATTGACCATACTTAAATGTGTACAAACATATGAAATGCTATAGCATCATACCTGCAAGCAAAAGTACGGACACCATTGTGGACCAAATATTCGCCAGATGTCCTCTCTATCTCAGGAGGAGAAACAAGGTATTTGCTCGGAAGCTTCAATTCACCATCATACTGAAGCATTCCAGCATATCGGATCTTTGGGAAACGAACACGATCAAATTTGTCAAAATCTTCATATTCTAGTGATTTAGCTATCATAACCATACGATCTGCTCGGAAGTTGAAGGTCACAACAGCATCACCATCCACTATTGGACCAACTGCTTTGCCGCTCTCATCAACTATGACAAACGGAGGCAAGTACTGATCATTGGCCTTTGTATCCTCCCTCAATTTTTTCACAGCTTCAACAGCACTTCGAAACTTGTATGGTGCTTCGCCAAGAACCTGAGCATCCCATCCCCGTTTAACAACATCCCAGTCATTCTGCAGAATGCACAAAATGAATTGCAATATGAGAACACTGAGAAGATTTTCCAAATAAAACTGAAGGAAATATCACAAAAATATCCTAAACAATGTAGCTTTCTGGTTTTTCATCCAAAACCAGTAGGAAGCACCAGTCAAATGAATGTAAGACCCAATATGAATTAGATCTTATTCATCAGAGCATGCTTGACCATAGATTTGAAAAAGGATCTAACCATGAGTAATCTAGACCATGAAAACAAAAGAAACTATGCACCTTTCATTATTTAACAATCACCATCCTAAGTTCCAAATACAGAAAATAATTAGAGAACATTCACGAAAAATATACCTCATAGCGGTCCATGGTTACATACATTCGACCACCACCGGATGCAATTTGTGCATCAATACCTTTCTCTCGTAGCTTAGCAAGGTCACTCTCTAGAGTTTCCACAAATCCAACACTTGAGCCATCCAAAACATCACGGCCATCAGTGAGGATATGTACACGTATTCTTTTGGCACCATTCTCACTAGACCCTTTCAGAAGCAACTGCAAGGAGAAAAACAGTCACTTGTATGATTTGACCAGGTGCAGAAACAAGCAAACAAGAAACATTTGGCCTTTACATACCTGCAACTGATCAAGCCGAGAGTGAACACCTCCATCGCTCAATAACCCAATGAGATGTAAAGTTCCTTGATCAAAGGATTCTTTAATATACTTAAAGCCTTCTCCTTCATATATTTTTCCAGATGCAAGTGCAAGATCCACTAGCTTAGCACTACAACCATAAAAGAGAATTCAGAACATACCAAGGATCAAACTAAGAGGGCAAGTAGAATGACGGACTAATATGAAGACCTACACAAAGGCAAATAGAATATCGAAAGATTTTGAAAATATGAAATCTGGTGTTAGGTTTTGCTACCCTTGAGCATAAATCCTGCCTGCTCCAAGTGCATTGTGACCAACTTCACTGTTACCCATGTCATCCTCAGTAGGAAGACCCACAGCTGTTCCATGAGCTCTGACCAGCCTCCATCTTTCCGGAGCACCCTTGAAAGACAGACAATGTTAAGAATGTTGTTTGTATGACATCAAATTAGTTCCTATCTCAAATGACTTTTCATCCATAACAATTATGCGACACGGAATGGCAAAAATGTACAACTGAAGCATAATGCATTCAGATATATACACAATGAAAAACTTCTACTAATATGCTACACAGAAAAAATTTGATCGCATGGAACAACCACCCAGATAGCATCATTTGAGTTTCCAAGCATCTATTACACGATAGCAGCATCGAACCAGTAACAGCCAGTTTTGTCTAATTCATCGACATGATAACCCGCGATTTACAGAAATAAATAGATATTTTTCCTTCGCGGAAATGGATATACCTGCTTAAGCGAATCCATGGTCGGAGTCTGGGCGACATGAATGCAGTTATACTTGTCCGGATTGGCTTCACCCCATCCATCCAAGACAACAACGGCCACGGTCTTGCCTTTGGGAAGCGTCGGGTGATCCGCCAGCTTCCACGAGAAATCCGAGCTGCCCATGACGCCAAACACTTGGAATTCGCAAGTCTCTGAACCACAAAAGAAGATTCCTTTTTTCCCCTCAAGAATTCCAATCAAATAAAACTAAAATACTAATAAAAAGAACCATCTTTAACAGCTACAACTCGTCAAGAAACATCGATGATCAAAACAGTACAAAGATGGACCGATGGTTCCAAAATCGATCGGAAGAAACATCGCAGGAGACCAGATCTATGAAAAGATCAAGCAGACATCGTTAACCAGAATAATCGACCGCAAACAAGAGATTCTCCGAGAAAAACCAGAAAGGAATCACTTAAAAAGAAGGGGCAGAATTGAAACTCCAATCAAATTGGGGAAGAAAGGAAAGAAGAAGTACAACGGCAGAGGATTGTTGGAGGAGAGTCTTTCGGCAGATGGACAAAAAAGCGAGCTTTGGCTTCTACTTATAGAATGGGAGCAAAAACCCTTAAGTCGCTATTCGTACGCTGCGTTTGACGTGAAATGCGTCGCTCGCTGGATTTTTCTTGGGAAAGAGGGGAGTGTTGGGGAAAAGAATTGGGGGTAGCGATAGCTGATGGGCGTCTCATCCGACGGCCATCGAACTTGATGTTTATGGTGCTCCCGCGGTGGTGCTTGAGTTAAGCAGTTCCCAACTTCATGCCCGTTGATTTCCTCGCCTCCGGTGGGCGGATGATACCTGATGCGCCCGCAGGAAGTGTTTTATACTTGATGGAAACAAAGCTACGGAAGAGTCCCAAGTACTCGATCTACCCTTCTCGGGATTGGTTAGGCCTCCTGGGACCCACATAAATCTGCGGCCACCACCAATCGTTTAGAAAGCATTTTGTTTTGGCTTTTCGTCTCCGATCTTTTGTACTCAAACTTAGCTTTCGCATCCCTACCAAAATAACTTATTATATGCATTCCTCTGTTTTTGGGAAAGATATTTATATTTTTTATCTTTTTCGGATGATGTTCCTAAATTGTTCTGCAAAGATGGATGTTTGCCGGACCAAAATCCAAATTCCTCATTGCAAATGGAAATATTTACACTCATATTTTGCTTGTCTTCCATTGGTCAATATGCGAGATAGAAAGCAGAGGCCGCAAATGGCCTTCATTCCAGCTTTCGATCTCAGCCGTCGATCAGAGACGCCACCCTCATCGAAACATCTGATCGAGGGTGATCAGAATGCCCATCGCGAGACACGCGTTGAGATCCGAGTGGACGACGAGGCGGAAGACGTCGCCGCCGAAGGCCACGCCGCCGACGGCCTCCTTCGGCCGGACCTCTGCCACCACCAGCCTTCGCTTGTCGTAGATGGTGCAGCTCCGCCGTGAGTACGACCCCTCGACCTCGTACCCGGGACCGCCGCCGCGGCACTGGGCCACGTGGGCGATGGCGGCGGTGGGCTTCGAAGGGAGGAGGGTCACGCGCCTCTTGACGACGTAGATGGGGTTAACGGTGTCTTCTCCGCCATACATCAGCCACTTCTCCCCGAGGCTCAGCTTCTGCACAACTCAAACCCGGGCGAGTCAGTATTCCGCGTTCGCCGAGTCAACTCCGCGGAACGGTATGAACAGAGCAACACGTAGATGTACCTTCCGCCGGACGGTGAGTAGCGGCTTTCCAGCGGCGTCCATGAGCACGAGATCCTCGGGAGTGCCGGATCCGTAGACGTCGACTCGGAAGGCCAAGTTTCCCTCGGCGTCGAAGACTGTGAACCCGTTGCAGCTGAAGAGCAGAGACTTCCGCCATACCGTCAACACCGCAGCGTTTTCCTTCCGCCCAGCTGCGCTACTATCGGCACCGTTACCGCAGGTGGCGAGCCTCGGTAGCTCAAGAGAAGGAACGGCGCTGTTCGGGTGGACCTTAGCCATCTTCCAGCGGCGCTGCGAGAGAGAGAGAGAGAGAGAGAGATCGAGAGGTGCAGGTACAGCAAGAAGAGTGGTGGTATATATGAAGGACGTGTGGACGAAATTGCCCATGCAAAAGCATAAAATTTACTGCCATTTCTAATGTTGGGAGAAGAAGTCGGGTGGATAATCAAGTCATTAACTGTATCACTTTAGAATAATTGCTCATATTAATCAATCATTTGATTGATGTATTATTAGTTGCTTTATTAGGTGTTGTGGACAAAGATTTCTCTAATACTTAAATTAGTGTTGTGAAATTAAAAAAATTAAAGAAAATCGAGAGTTAAATAGAATCTGTCTTATATAAATTAGTGTATCTTTTTATCTTTCATGTGAGATTTTGGTAATTATCAATAGTAATTAGACGTTAATACAGGAAATATTATGCGATATATAGTTAGATTTTACAGGGACATGAAGAATCGATAACGTGTGTGATGCTCACGTACATGTCGAATTGCATGGTGAGGAGATGATAGTTCAGCTACCAGTAAAAGCCCTCATTTTGGTGGCACAACAGATGCCATTTGTCTGCAAGAGAAAGTCTTCGTGGCTTGGTTTGATACGTTTAGCTTTGTTCGATCGAAGCGTGTCCAAATAGAGGGTTTTAATTGGTTGGTTGACTTCAAACACATGCATGTAGGAAGTCAACGATGATGAAGCGAGTCAAGATCTACATGCAGGAATGGGTGACAACCCATGCTGTATATTTATGGTGAGTGTCGTCAAACCCCAATCCATGTCTTGTAGGACAAGTCACATTCCATCTTCACATGACTGATTCTAAATCGAGCTTAAGCCTTTGATCGATGAAGAACAAGAGAATAATAATGATAAGGCATATGCTTTTGAATGAATCTATAGTATCTCATGTCATTAAACCAAAATACTATGATTGATTTGGTTTGACAGTGGATCAGTAAAAGTCATTGTAACTCAGTTGGATTGTGAAATAAAAGGCTGTCTGCAGGCAAAATAGAAAATGGAAGGTTTGATCCCCAAAAATTCACAAATGTAGCACTTTTCCTTAGATATCATCCCTTACTTTCCATGACATAATTATTGCAAGCACATGAGAAAGCTTGTTTAGTTCAGAACATAATCATAAGGCTAGTTTAGAAATGCCTGCTAAAAGTTCAATATATAATTATTTTCTCAGTAGTGCTTAAAGCACTTTGTATTGCTTCTGCATAATCTAAAGAGCCTTGAGAAGCAGAATCATTTGATCCCAGAAACAAGGCAACATGTTCTTGACATGCTAAGCCCATCTTGTCCCAGAAGTTTAGCCAATGGAATTAAGGAGAGTGAATGCCAATTACACTAAATCCCAGTAGTTTGACATAACAGCACACTGGAGAGGTCTTCGACGGAGGGGACAAAAGCACCAGACAGCACTCATGGCGATGCCAATGACTATGTCTTCTAGGGTTTCAATCAGACGGAGGCACGGAGATGGCAACAGATGTGCACACCACCTTCTCGGGGATACTGTCACATGGCAGATCCAACTCCATGGCAGTTCCATGTGGCAGCTAGTGAGAGAAAGCTTCTGAAAGCAGATGAGATGACCCTACTGTGGATGTGTTCTTTCGTGGCAGTAACCCTACCTCAAGCTACTGATGCAGCAAAGGTGAACGAATCCATCGCCTTCGAAGCTGCATGCATGTTTGCAGCTCAAAAGCATTAGCTGCATTCATAGAGAGACACAGCATGTGCTTCTGTCATGGTGATCATAGGAATCCAACTATTTCTTCACCTAATAATGGCAAATTACAGCACTTAATAGGGAAGTGAAAGATAAGAACATTAGTTTGGTTGCTGCAGACAAGAAAATAAGAAGCTCATGATCTTCTTTCCAAAATCACTCATTTTGTGAGGATAAAAGAGTTTTTGTTTTGCTTCAAAAAATCACCACCAGCAAAGATGTATAGAGAGAGGGTTGGAGGGAGGAAGAGCCAGTGAGTGGTTCCACAGTACTACAAGCAGCAATGGAGTTCTTGAGAGAGATTGGGTTCAAGTCATGAACATTAGATTTAGTGGCTTAAAATCCATGCACACTAAAAGCTAGCTTGAGAAATGACTCAGAACATGGCATTCAGGTGGAAGAATTGAGGTCCAAACCTCCTCAAGTGCACTAGCTGAAGTCCATACTGTCAATTGGGTTGGTGGCACGACCAAGAGAAGCTCATCTTCCCAGTGTTGGAAGAGAGCATAGAGTAGCATGTCTCATCATTGGAAAGCCACCTCTGCTTATAACCAATAAGTAGACAAAGGCAACACCAGCATCATGAGAAGCCACCACTCTGTCAACCAAAGCTTTTGCACATGCATGAGCTATAGACTTTATTATAACTCAAATGGAGATGGAACAAGCATCTTATTCTGAGAGAGTAGTACAGTGAGTTGACAAGGCATCTTCTACTCCTTGACTCAACATCCACACAGACTCCACTATTCGCAAGCAGATGCATGCAAGGTGATAGCTGAGTCACATTACAGTCACAAAGTTGGCATCAGTACTAGTTCTGCCCAGCAACTCAAGCAGTTCCCACACCAATGAGATTGGTTCCTAGGAATTCTAGGAGGAAAGATAGATTCTCTCTTCCCTTCATGTCACAGACTCAGTACTGAGATATGACCATAAAATGCTTGAGGTCATCAAAAACCTGGAGCAAATATCATTAGCTTTCTATGTGTCCTACATTAGTGACTTCTGTAGTTGGCTTTTCAGATGCTTGGCTATTATCAAGCTTGTTTGCTGCATGTTTCATTCTCAAAACTTAGGCATGTACTTGGGTCAGTTGATGATTGAAATCTCATGCAATATGTATCATAGTGAACGCAACTCCTCTTTTCTACCATGGCTGGGAGAAGGTTCTCGTTCTCATGGGGAACACACGAGTTCTGCGGCTTGTTTCCAGACCATCTTTGCCTTTGAATCCTCTCCACCTGTCATGCATGCTCGAGATCTGCTAGATATGTGATTGGCGCAGCAGCTACGACTTGCTCCTGTTGCATCATGTAAAGCTTTCTTCCACCTCTACCACGGTGTTCATCAGAGAGAAGAAAAGAAGGAAGCATGGCTTGTGACACCCTCCATCTCCATCCATGAGCAGGAAATCTGCCTGCAGTAGTTGATGGAACAAAGGTGGGGTGGAATGGCGAGAACACGAATAGAGTGATATGTTACAGGCTCAGCATCTTCTTTCTCTTAAAGCTACGTAGGATTTGAGACTTGAGATGACATGACTACTCACTTGTCTTTGCTCTGCAGAACGGGATGGAATGAGGTTCCAAAAATGTTTCTTTCGGCAAGGCCGAAAGCAAAAGCATGGCACTTGACAGGAATCTGAATCCGCCTAAGCTTAGTCATCGGAGTTCCTCCTAAGTTGCTGTTTCCCGATTCTAACACGTCTTCTGTACATTGACAGGGAAGAACATTCTCTCTCTTTAGCTCTCATGAACACAGCAGCTTCCATTCTCATCAAGCCCCTACTCCTTTGCCCAATGGCGATGAATGCACAGGGACAAGAGCAGAGAGGCGACCCACAGACGAGCAATGAGAACAGCACTCTTCCTTCTTCCTCTGCTTTAGCATCATGCTTGCATTCAGACTACGTCGAGCAGACAAGGCGGTGTTGATTCAGATCGATATGTTACTGTAATAAAAAGCGTGCATGCAGCACGAAGCAAACTGAGATTAACCTTGTTTCTGGGAGTTGGACGTAACTCTGTTGGAGTTTAGATCTAAGTCGTAGATTGAGATGCATTGTTAGGAAGACAAAGTCCATGAAGAACAAGGCTCAGTTGTCAGCAACTTTTTCTCATCCAATGCTTGGAAGAAGCTAGTGAGAATAAGCAATGAAATCCTTTGAGCAACTCATCATAGTCCAAAAACAAGAAGAGACATAGGTAAGATGAATGAATAAGCGATCTGAGAGACAACATCAAAGTAGAGAGAGTTGTTTCACACTGCGTCGGTTCACAGGCCCCTTTTGCAGTACCACATATTGCCAACTCTACTGCAGTGTACAGAGAGAGTTGTTTCATTAACAGAGGCTGTGATTACTCTGTAAGTAAACTAAGAAACCACATATTGCTAACCCTACTGCAGTGCACTTGTAATTGCCATCAGATTAGAAGGAAATAAAATGAACAGGACAATGCATCAGAGGCATAGACTAAAGAAGTTGAGTTTAAGCACACTAACCTTATTGGCTCGACCAGTTTTGCTCCTTTGTCACTGCAAAATTGGTAGGACAAGTTAACAAACAAGAAAGTCACTTCCACACTGATGCTTTCGCAGATGATCGTATTTGGAATGACAGTCAGGTCTATGTGGTCCAACTAGCTTTCATTTCTAGAACAAAACCTAGCCCGTTTTGGCAAGGTTTGCCTCGGTTAAAATACACAAAGCACTGATTAGAAATAAAGATCTTGCAGACGACGATGGTGATAAGACGATACGATTTACATCAAAACATAGTGGAAGAAGGAAAACCCACACGAGCAAGCATGACGAGATAGATAATGTACAATGACACCCACCCAGGATGGACTCACTTGACCCTGCAGGCTGGAAGAGCACCTGGCGAACATTTTGTGTTTGGAGTTGGTCTACAACTGACACTGCCTCCCGCAAGCCTACGGTGCATCCTGTAGTCGGAGACTGTGCCACGACCTAGTGCCTGAAATGAGCCCTCACTGCCGCTGCTTGCCTGCAGGGGCTCAAGTGTCTCCACGACATCGCTCATAAGAGGCCTTGCTTTCGGGTTGTGGCTCAAGCAGTAGTATGCCAGGCTGCAGGCCTTCTGAGCAGCTCTCGCTGAATACTGATCCTCCAATCTTGAGTCGATTATTTGCAGCAGCTTTCTCTTGTCATTGAGCTTGGGACGAGCCCAATCGACCAAGCTCTGCTCCTTGCTTGGGCGCGTCTTGTCCACAGATCGCCGGCCTGTCAATAGCTCAAGAAGGACAACCCCAAAGCTGTAAACGTCGCTCC